ATATGAACGCTGTTGGATTAAGTTGGATTAAGCGAATACGTTATACGGCTAAGCGAAAGCTACAAGTTTTCTTAGTGCACTTATCCCCCTTTACTTGTGAGTTAAGTTACCCGAGCATCCGAAAAAAGTATTGTAAAACGTATAAAAAAAATCTTTAATTAATTGTGTAACGATCTACAAAATCGGGCACTCGGGACGGTCTCACCTGTTTTTCTGCTATGCTTCTTTATCAAAGCGTTTTCAGTTTCAAGCAGAGCATATCCAACATGGAATGCAATTACAAGAACATCTTAACCTACAACGCCAACAATTTACTCAAAGACAACATTTAGAAACAACACAAAGAGTAACAAATCAAGAACAACCACATTCACAATCATCCCCATTAGAATCAAAACTTTCAATTTCTCTGTCCCTATCAGATGGGTCAGTAATAGATGATCAACTAAAAGAAGCCGTAAACATGTTAACTAGCGTTCATTTAAAGCAACAACAAATTACATCACAAGAATTAGAAAATCAACAACCTAAATCTTCACGGAAAGAATCTCCGAAAAAATAAAGCTTCTGATTATATGTATATATTAGGTTTACCTAATCATATTCGAGTTTAAATATGAATAATAACATTTTTGTAAATATTTGAAAAGTGTTTAGTAAATGCAGTTAGACCTCTATAAATACACACTCTATGAAATTCTCTAAACATACGTTACATTTTACGCTTTATAAATGAACACCTTTAAAGTGCACACTGCCTTTATTTATTATGGTTTTAGATGCGTACTTAGGGAGGTCTGACTGTAATCATATCGTTCACCCATAAACATTTCCTAGTGATAAACGACATATCATATTGCCTAATCTTTATAAACAAATCTTTATATTTTTTAAAAATATATCATTAATTCTTTAATCGGTTAACTGCTAGTATACTATATCCACATGAAAACCCATCAGATAAATTTTAATACTGCTATCTATTATTGCCCATCACCTCATTATCTCTTAGCTACCTTCAGATATTATTATCATTATAGAGAACTAGACGTCTATAAATTTGTTATTCGATACATTTTTTTTTTGTTATACCATCACGTTTCATATAATTATTCACAATCATTGCATCTAACTCATAATAATACGGTATTTTGGCAACTGGCTTAGGATCCAAATCAATTACGTTAACTTTATACTTAAAATAAATTTTATCATCATTGGAAAAGGGAATAAATTTAACCTTTTCTTTGAAAAACAGACTAATGAATAAATTTATAGGTTTAGATCACAAGTTACAAATCGTTTAAACGAAATAATAAGTAGTATTCAAGTTACCCGGTACCATCTACGACTTTCGTTTCATCGTTAAAATAAGATTTCTGGAACGTGAAAATTATTGAACAATCTTTTAATGTAGTTGACATCAAAAATTCGTAAATTCGTTGTCTCATTTGGGCACCATCCATACTTAAATGCGGTACTATAAAAGAATAGTGGACAATTTTAATTATTAAGCCTAAAAAAAACATTAATATAAATTACGAACCACCGGGACTCTTAATCCTCTTCTCGTATTCTTTTGCGATTAATTGCCATTCTTCTATTGTTGGATCATGTAAGCCCGATTGTTGTTCCAAAAATAACTTGTATATGCCTTCTATGTCTAATTCATCTAGAGTTTTTTGAAGTTGTTTAAGGCGCTTAAATAAATTTTGCTCTTCAAGAATAGTATGCGATAATAGTATGACCAACAAATTTTTTACATCAACATTTTTACTAGGTAAAAAAACCAGTATCTTTCGTAAGTATAATGTTATTTTTTTAAGTGAATATGAATACATACTGTTGTATTTTGAGATCTGATGAAGATTGGTCAAAATTAAAAAATTCATATAATTGTGTAGGCCAATCATTCTAGAAGTGAAAAATCAAAATTAATAATTTGCAAGTGATGAGTATATAAATATTTATTCTACCTACCTGTCCAATATGTATTTGCATGCCTTGTATAAACAATTTCAGATTATTGTTCGGGTTAAGTAATAACTCTTCAATTGCACGTTTCAATCTTACTTCGTCCAAAGAAAACAAATCTAACGGACAATAGTTAGATAAAATTTTCTTTAAGTATTTGTGCATACAAAATCGGCAGGAACGAGATTTTTCAGAATTTATGAAAGGGGAGGAAGGTAAAAAAGCCCATTTTGGCTTTCGAATTGATAAAAATACGATCAAAATGAAGAAAGAATTAAACATTGTTAAAATGAATGAAATAAAATAATAAAAATAAAAAGAAATAAAAAGAATTGAATAAAATAAACCACCTTAAGCTCAATAGATAGTATATGATTTGTATCTGATGTGAATCTTGTATGATCATATGTTAATATACCATAGGGTTGATTGAAATCAATATCTTTATGAATTCGATTTTCGGGACGCATAGGAAGGATAGCTTTTGACAACTCCTTCAAAAATGGTTGAGGGACTTTCAGTAATATCTGTAAATAAATAAGATTTATCTTGTATAAATAAATGGATAACTTTTATTAAGCATACAAATAGATATTGGTTCGAGATCATACAGATTTGCCAATGTATTCTTCACCAAGAAGAGGACCGATGACAGAAGAAGCGTAAAAATCTATCAAATCTTGATTTACGAATGAATGAACATTATCTATACTGGTATCTTGGTTAGTAATAATTGCCTTTCGAAGTCGAAGAACTGTTCCAAACTATCTGCGAAAATGACCGTAAGAGAATAAGTAAAATAGAATTGTCCTTGACTTTTTTTTTTTTTTACTAAGCAAAGCTAATGAATCTGCAAAAATTCAGTTTCGTTTAGCCAGCATGCCATACTGAGTCAAGGCTGATGCCTTTTACAAAGTTTTCGGCCTTTGACTGTAAATATAATTGGTTGATAACATACAAATCTCTCTTTTTTTCCAATAAATGCTAGAATAACATTTGAGCTTCCTTCTGTTTTGTATTTCCATAAATTTGCTTGATAAAGTTCCGGGATAGCCTCAATAAGTGGCATAAATAATTAACGTTAAGCAGCAGAAGAATTGTTTCGTATATTTGATTACGTAACTAGATCAATGTAACTGGTCTATTTTCAACCTTTTGTCGATCATATAATCAACAAAAAGTTTTTTCTGATATGAACCACTTTTCGTGCTTTAATAAAAAAGACTCCCCTCATAATTTTGGTGCAAGTTATAATCTCCTAACTTTTGATCTACTAACTTTAAATCACGTCAATCAATCTAGGTGATCAATCAGGCGAATGATATTCAATCAGATAATATAATATCGATATCCGCTTACGTCAACATGTATTTCTTTATTTAAAATAACCCGCCTGCGCCTAATCTTAGATGGATTATGCCACCATGCTTACATTCTTTATGGATACAACTCAAGGTTGTTATAGGATACAATCTACACGATGAATGAGACAAGTAAGCTAATCATTTTTTAGCCTTGTAAAAAAAAAAAAAATGTAAATGAAAAAAAAATAGAGTATAGTCGAATGTTGAAATAAATAAATAAATCTAAATTTTAGTTAGACCATGTAAAATTAATTAATTGGTTTTTATAACCCGGCCGGGCCAAAATTCTAAAAAAATTTTTATGTTTTACAGCTGTTCTCATAAATTCTAGGATAACTGAAAAAAGTTCAGATGACCGAATCTGAGTTCGGCCGAAGTCGGTTACTTGTTGATTCAGACTCGGTAACTTATCGATTCGGTCATCAGAAAATTTTCAATTGTTCAAGAATTTGAGAACAGCTATAATAACGGGTGGGTTTTGAAAATAAATTTTATAAAATTTTATATGAAACTTAAAAAAAAAAAGCCGGCCGGGTCTATTTTTAAAATTTCATGTTATGAAACCAAGTAATATTTGTATGGCCTTATCACAAATTTACAAGGAACTTTCCCGCTAATTTTGCTTCATTCTTGGCTGTAATATTAATTCTTTTTTTTTTAAAAAAAAAAGATCTTAGTTTCGATAAAATAATTACATATAAGTGCCCTATTTTAGAAAATTTTACTATATCTCATGATACAGTGAACGAAATTTAATGGTTCGGATACCATTCGAATCGTCTCGTCAAGATGGATCGAATGGTACTAAAATTGCTAAATTTAAATCACTGGATAACGAGATATCACGATTTAAACAGATTTTAGAAAATGGTGAATAATCAGCAATTTTGGTGCCACCGATTCGTCTTGACGAGACGATTCGAATGGTATCCAAACCATTAAATTTCAACTTATATGTAATTATTTTACCTTTTTGAGCACTTATTTGTAAATTCCCTTAATTTTTTATATTGTTTTGCTTTAATTGGTAATGGTAATATACAGTAACTCCCAGTAACTTCTTTAGAACCATGCTAACGGTAATACACGGTAACTCTTTCAAACCATACACTGGCAATCATAAATAATGCAACACGTGATTATTTTTATAATAAAACATAGTAACTTTGGAAATTTTCATCT